GCTTAGCGGCTGGCAGCTGTGTACACACAGCATTAGCTCTGGCTCAGCCTGGAGTTCCTCCCTGCCCTCTCCCGCTGACCTACCCATGCAGCACGTTCCTTAAGTTTAGCCCACACTGCCACACAGAATTGAGGAGCACTCAGTTAACTCTGAATTTCAGATAAACAATGAAGAATTATCTAGTATGAATATGTCTGGTCAAACATTTAGAATATATACCCACACATATATTTAAATATTTTATGATTTATTTATTTATTTGTGTGTTTGTGTCGGGGTATACATGTGTGGGTTAAAAGACAACTTTTTGGTAGGTCCTGGTGGCAAATGGCTTTGATCCTAGCACTGGGGAGGCAGAGGGAGGTGGGTCTCTGATTTTGAGGCCAGCCTGCTCTAGAAAGAGAGTTCCAGGACAGCCAGGGCTGCATATAGAAGCCAAAACAGAAAAGGGGCTGTGGTGGGCTCACCTTTAATCCTAGCACTCAAGGGAAGGCCGAGGCAGGAGGATCTCTGAGTTCAAGGTCAGCCTGGTTTACCGAGGGAGTTACAGAATGACCAGGGCTACACAGAGAAACCCTGTCTCAAAAAAAAAAAAAAATCAGAACAAAAGACAACTTTGAGGCGTCAGTTCAGGTCTTCAGGTTTGGTGTCAAGCTCCTTCCTGCTAAGCCTTCTCACTGGTATCCTCACTTACATTAAAACAAGTAAACAGATGAACGTTGTTTACTTGAAATCCCACCAGGAGTTCTAGTTTGTCCTCTACAAAGGACATCTTGGTGATAGCCTCAGTGCCTGAACTCCTGTGGCCTTCATGACTCAACACTCATCCAGGAAGCAGGAGCGCTTTTACTTATTAGTGACAACGACTTGTCTGATTGCTGATCACCTGTGATCAGCCAGGCACGTAGACACTTTATGTAGCCTCTCAGTTCACTCCTTGAAGTGCTCCCAGTGGCTAGAGTTCTTGTCCTTGTGGAAACCCTGGAGGGTCAGTGTCATGAAGTTGGCATCATCCTCCAGGCTCAAGGCTTCAGGACAAGAGCCCAAAGCAGACAGAGTGGCTCCCGGCAGGCAGAGACTCAACTGGCCTCTGCCAGTGTCACACAGTGGCATCTGCCTGAGTCTGTGGCCATGGAGTCTGACTGGAGAGTGACACTCGAAGGTGTTCCTTTCCGGAAAAGAAATCCTAGCATCAGAGTTGGCTTGGGGGCTGTGACATCGAGATCTCTTCCCCAAGTCCTAAGCCATGTTGTAACAAAAACGTGGGTTTCAGACAACAAGGAAGTTTGTAAGCTTGTTTGCTTTCTCTCATGAACTCTGGCACTGTTTCTCGAAGTCTTGTGAAACTGGCCCCCGAACAAAGTCCTTCTGGGCATGGCTTTGGACGTGTGTGGCATGATGTGTGACGTAGAGTGTGCCCATGGTGCATGGCAGAGCTGCACACACGTACCTGAGGGCTTTGCGAGCCTTGTGGATGAGTACCTAGGGCATTATTAGATTTAAGCAGCCCTTTCTGGCACCTTTTCACTCTGTTTTGTTCTAGGCAGGGTTATATTCTGTAGTTCAGGCTCACATGCAACTCACTATGTAGGTCAGGCTGGCCTCCAACTCAATCCTCCTGCCTCTGCCTGCTAAGGGTTAGGATTATAGGAGTGAACCATCGTTTTTTCTTTTTCCTTCCTTCCTCCCTTCCTCCCTTCCTTCCTTCTTCCCTTCCTCCCTTCCTCCCTTCCTTCCTTCTTTCCTCCCTCCCTTCCTTCCTCCCTTCCTTCCTCCCTTCCTTCCTCCCTTCCTCCCTTACTTCATTTTTTCCTCCTTTTCTTTCTTTCTATAGTGTTGGGGATGGTACAGACCCTTATGAATGCTAGGCAAGAAATCTATACTAACTGTGTTCCTAGCCCTTTAATTTTTTTTTAATTTTAAAACAAGGTCTTTCCATGTTGCCCAAGTTGGCCTCCACCGTGTGATACTCTTCAGCTTCCAGCTGAAGGTCTTACAGGTCTGGGCCACCTTGGCAGGCCTAATCCCAGTCTTTACCCAGTGGCTATCTGATGTCACCCTGTCACAAAGGATGTAGGCATGTGCACTCATACATCCTGGACTGGGAGAAGGTGTATCATTATGAAATGGGAGTTTGGTCCCTTCTGTTGTCTGGACCTCAGCTGTCCTGTTTAACGTTACTTCCTACTCTGCGTGGGAGTTAGACAAAGGAGGCATGCTCAGATATGGTTAGTTCCCGGGACAGACAGAAGTTACCTGGCCCAGCAGGAGGAGCTACAGCTGTGGAGGAGCCAGGGTTTGGGGGCAGTTTTCTTCTGGGGTCCGGCTACTTCTCAAATCCTCTTCTGTTCCTCTGTGCTGGGGATTGAACTAAAGCCTGACTTGCTAGACAAATGCTCTACCGCTGTGCTGCACCTCTAGCTGCTTTTTGATGACTTTGTTTTTGCTGTGTTTTGCAACAGTGATTCCTATAGCCCAGGCTGGTCTCAAAGCTGCTATGTGGTGAATAACCCTGAACATCTGATATTCTTGCCTTCACCTCCAAAAGTACTGGGTTTACAGACGTGGCCACAGCTTGGTTTCTTTTATTTTAAAAAAAGTTTTTTTGAGATGGGGTTTCTGTGTAGCCCTGGCTGTCCTGGAACTCGATCTGTAGACCAGACTGGCCTCGAACTCACAGAGATTGGTCTGCCTCTGCCTCCTGAGTGATGGAATTAAAAGTGTGTGCCACCACCTCCCAGCCCAGTTTGGTTTCTTGGTATCTTGCTCTATGGTTGTTTGGCTTGTTTTGAGTTTTTGAGATAGTTTCACCAAGTTGCCTAGACTGTCCCTGAACCTTCGCCTTCAGACCTCAGACCTCAGTCTCACTAGGAGCTGGACTACAGGTCTGTGCCCCTAGGACTGGCTTCATCCCTCTTTTGTGTATTTAATTTTTTTTTTTTGGTTTTTCGAGACAGGGTTTCTCTGTATTGTTTTGGAGGCTATCCTGGAACTAGCTCTATAGACCGGGCTGACCTCGAACTCACAGAGATCCGCCTGCCTCTGCCTCCCGAGTGCTGGGTATTTAAATTTTTTTAATTTTAATTTTATTTCTGTTTTTTTTTTAAATTTTTTGAGACAGGCTTTCTCTGTGTAGCTTTGTAGACTAGGCTGGCCTCAAACTCACAGAGATCTGCCTGCCTCTGCCTCCCGAGTGCTGGGACTAAAGGCATGCACCATCACCCAGCTGTTTTTGTCTTTTTTCTAGATAGGGTTTCTCTGTCGTCAGACTTCCTTTGGACCAGCAGCTCCTAAACGATGACACAGAGACTTCTTACTAATACTGAAAGTTTGGCCTTAGCATAGGCTTGTTCCCAACTAGCTCTTAAAGCTTAAACTCGCCCGTATGTCTTAATCTACATTCTCGTTACCTCTCCTCCATTCTGTACATCTGACTTGCTCCATGTCTTGCAGGCAAAAATCTCTGCCTCTCTTATTCCAGAGCGTCTGTCTTTCCCAGGTAGCTCCACCCATCCTCTCCTGCCTAGCTATTGGCTACTCAGCTTTTTATTAAACCAATCAGAAGGTGCCTTGGCAGAGACACATCTTTACAGTGTACAAAAAGATTATCCCACAACATTTCTCTGGGTAGCCCTGGCTGTGCTGGAACTGGCTCTGAAGGCCAGGCTGGCCTCGAACTCAGAGACCCGCCTGCCTCTGCCTCCCGAGCACTGGGATTAGAGGCGTGCGCGACCACCATCAGATTCTATTTTTAAGTTTTTTATTTTACTACTCTGTGTGTGTGTGATGTTAAGGACGGTTACACGGCACACATTTAGAGGTCAGAGGACGAGTCTGTGGAGACAGTTCTCTCCCTCCCCCGTTCTGTGGGCTTATCTATTTCTGAGGAATTGGTCTTAAAGGTGTGAAAGGGGTTCAACCTGTCCTTACTGAACCTTCCTGTACCACTGCCCAGACAGGGGGCCGCCTGGCTAAAAGCCTTTGCCGGCCTTCCTTGTTATAAGTGGGGCTTTGATCTGAGTGTGGGTCTGTGGACTTTGAATCTTCAGCTGTCTGTGGTGACACTCAGATCTTGGTCTTCAAAGACTTAGGGGAATAGGATGGGGTTAACCACACAAGCATGTTCTCGAAACCACCGGAACATGACTGAAAATCACCCTGTGGACAGCAGCGCGGCTCCAGCTTCCGCGCGTCCTGGAAGATTGACAGCAGATGTGGGTGGAAACCTTTTTGGAGAGAGGAAGTAGCTGGAAGCTGAAAAGTGAAGTTCAGCCAACAGAGAGTTTGCCAGCTTCCTCTGATGCCAGGGAAGGCTAAAGGCTTCGGAGGAAGGGGGCGTCTCAAGACGGGGTATAGCCAAGGCTTGAGCTGGGTGTGGTCGGGTTTGGGCTGGGGAGATGTCTCAGTGCATAAAGCATGAAGACCCATGTTCAGATCCCTGGAACCTGCTTAAATCATGGATGGGTATGGCCGGCCACCTGTACCTCCATGTTTTTAGAAAGCAGAGGCAGGGATCCCTGCGGCAAGCTGGCTGGTGAGACTAACCATATTGTCAGGCTCTCCTCAGTGAAGAGACCTTGCCTAAATAGATAAGGTGGAAAGGGATGGAGGAAGACTATGACATCAGCCCTGGGCCTCGGCACTGTGTACACGCACAAACACACACGCATGCGCACGCATGCTTGTATGCACATTAAACAGAAAAGGAAAATAATTGGAATGAGAAGCATTGTGTGGAGGGTCAATGTCCGTGCATCTCTGTGTGTTGGAAGCCCTTTCTCTTTTCATGAGGTGTTCCCCACATGGTGGTGAACACAAAAAACAGGAGACATGGGAAGGGGGACAGGATTCTGGAGAACTGGAGAAGGGATGCTCCAGGCCACACCTCCGCGGCAGGACAGAAAACAACCAGCCCAAACCTAAGCAGAGACGTGGATGGTTCCAGAAGAGGGCCTCCTGTACAAAAGGTGCTGCCAGGCTGTTGGACGAACTTGACCATGTTGCAGAACGCAAGTTGCATTTATTTGAGGGATGGTACATTCTCTGCAGCAAGTGTGTGGATGTCAAAGAACAGTTTGTGGGAGTCAGTTCATGGGGTTTGAACTCAGGCTGCCAAACCTTGGCAGCAAGTACCTTTATCCCCTGAGCCACCTTTCCAGCTTATTAGTAAGTCTTAAACATATAAAATAAATAAATAATCCAAGCAAATTACAAACCTAAATTTTTGCTTTTTAACCCCTGGGTCTGGGGGCTGAACCGAGTACAGGGCACATGCTGAGCTAATGTTCTGCCACTCAGCCATGTCCTCAGTCCATATGTGAGTCGTGGGGAGGGGGGGATACTGGGGACCAAGGGGATTGATTGACAGGCAAGGGCTCTACCACAATGGTACAACTCCAACTTGGGTTTTGTGGGGTTTTTTCCTTTTATGTTGCAGCAGGGTCTCAGCAAAGTCACCCAGACTGTCCTTGAATTCATTCTACCCCAGAAACTTGAAGTCCTCATGCTTCAGCCTCTTGTATAACTGGGACAACTGTCTTGAGCCACGAGGCCTGGCTTCTAAATAGGTAATATATTCACATGGTTTAAAAACCAAAACTAGGATCTGTGTTGTGCATGCCCTTAATCCTAGCCCTCAGGAGGCAGAGGCAGGCTAATCTGTGAGTTTGAGGCCAGCCTGATCTACATAATGAGTTCCAGGCTAGCCATCGATACCATGAGATCATGTCTCAATAAAAAAGGATGGTGGTGGAGAGGTGGGTCAGCATCCACACGGGGGCTCACGATTGTCAGTGCCCAGTTCTCCACCATCCAATGCCCTTTTCTGGCCTGCACAGGCATCAGGCATGTTTGTGGTTCACAGACACACATGCAGGCGAAACACCCATACAGAGGGGAAAAAACTAAATTTTAAAAAATCCCAAACAATACAGAACAAAAGACCCCAAAACTATGTTTAAAAGTAAAGTAACTGTACACTGTACATACTTCACCTCCTCCAAAACAAGCAGTCATTTTTTTATTAGTTTCTTATACATGCTTCTGGTGAGGTGTGTGTGTGTGCACAGGCGTGTGTGTGTGTGTGTGTGTGTGTGTGTGTATGTGTGTGTGTGTGAGAGAGAGACACAGAGAGAGAGAGAGACTAAAAGAAATTATAACCACATTTAGCTTCTTCACCCTTTGAGCTAAAGCATGAAGTTTAGCAGAGTTGACTGTGTCCACACTGTTGACCCTCAGGGACAAGCCACCTTGTTTTTCTTACATATTCACACATTGTTCTCCTGGGTACTGTTTTCAAAGTCCCTCCTCTGGTCTTCCTCTGTGACTTAGTGCTTCACCATGCAGACATGCAGCCCTCCGGAGAAGGACACTCGGGTGTGTTTTCCTATGCAGAGTGTCACAGTGCATAAGTAACCGCACGCGCCATCGCCCACGTGCAGGGGCGCAGCTGAAGGGCAGGCTCTCCCGAGTGGGAGTGCTGGCTCCAGGGTAGATGCTCGGGTGATTGTACTTGCTATCTCCCGTCTCTCTTCCTGTGACTTTGACTGCTTTGCTCTCCCCACTGGCAATGCAGGAAAATGCCTGTTCCCCAATGCCACATCAACAGACTGTGTTGTAAACTTTTGGGTTTTTGCCAAGCTGATAAATGAGAAATGCTGTCTCGATGTAGTTTTAATTTTCACTTATCTTCTGTGAGGTTGAGAATCTTTTTAAAAATTTAAAAGCCATTTGCATTTCCTTTCTGTGAACTGTTCGTAGTCTCTGGCCATGTCTCTCTTGGGTTGCTGGTCCTTCCAGTTAATTACTAGCTCCAAGCGAAAGAAAACGCTGGAAAAGAAACAGAATGAATCATGGAATAACACATGGCTCAATTGTGAATAGTGGTTACAGTTTCATAACCAACTAAATGCTAAATGTTGATTTAACCAAAATTTTCCCTTTAATTCTCTCAGGAGGGTGTGTGTGTCCCTGCACTAGCTCAGGGTAAGACCTAGAAAACCAAACCCTCACCTTCCGTGGGGAAAGACATACAGTCTAACAACACACAGCACCGCTGCAGAGTGCGGCTTCTGAAGTACGAGGTTGCATAGAAGACAGCCCACTCACTGCTGGTGCTGTGGCTACCTCTTAGTGGGCTTGGGGGCTGTGTTTGCCTGGTTTTGCTTTGTTTAGCAGTTCTGAGGACTGAACAGAGGGCCCTGCATATCCTAAGCAGTGCTCTCCCACTGAGCTACGCCCTCAACAGGAGCTATGGTTTTTCATCAAAGTTGTTTAGTCCCATTTAACTCTGTAAAACTATCACTGTGGTCTAATAAAATTAACTACAGACAATTAAATGGTATGATGTGTATGTTACAATATGGGGCCTCCATGTTGTAAAGAGGGGGCTATCATAAAAGTTGATCTGTAGGAGTGGGTTTGGGGTTTTGGTTTTTGTGGCTCTGGGGATGGAGTCCAGAGCCTAACGGGTGCTAGGCGACCATTCTATCACTGAGCCACATCCTAGGTTCTACAAGGGGCCTTTGTGTAGTAACCAAGCAAGGAAGTAAAGAACCCCACAGAGTCTCCTTTCTGTTTTGTTTTTCAGGTGGGGTCTTGCTGTGTACCCCTGGCTGTCCTGGAACTTGCTTTGTATACCAGAATGAAACCCAAATTCACCTGCCTTTGCATCTCCAGTGCTGGGACTAAAGGCATGTGCTACTTCCTCCTTTTTTTAAAAAAAAAAAAGACTTGTTTTTATTAAATTATGTGTAGAAGTGTCTGCATTTGGGTGTCAGCTCATGAATTCAGAAGCCAGACACATTGAATTCCCTGGGATGGAGTTACAGGTGGTTACAGGAGCTGCTGATGTGGGTGTTGGGAACTGAACCCGGGTCCTCTGGAAGAGCAGCAAGTGCCCCTTTTTGTTTGTTTGTTTTTTGAGACAGGGTTTCTCTGTGTAACAGCTCTCCCTGTCCTGGAACTTTCTTTATTGACCAGGCTAGTCTTGAACTCACAGAGATCTGCCTGCCCTGCCTCTCGAGTGCTAGAATTACAGGCGTGTGCCACCATGCCTGACATGTAGCAGGTGCTCTTAATGTCTGAGACATTGGTCCAGCCCCTAGGGCACCATTACTGCCAGGCCCAAGGTAGCCTTTAACTAACAGAGGTCCACTTGCTTCTGCTCCTGAATGCTGGCATTAAAGGTGTGCCCCAGCATATCCAGACTAGAGTTTTCTTTAAAGAAAGTATTTACTGATGCTATGTGTATGTGTGTGAGGCTGAGTTATATATGCATGCCCTGTGTATGTATGAGCCTGCAGAAGTCAGAAGATGGCATCAGATCCCCTAGATCTGCAGTTACAGATGGTTGAGAGCCACCGCATGACTGCTGGGAACTGAGCCCAGGTCTTCTGCAAGAGCAATAAGTGTTCTTCGCCACTAAGACATCTATGCGGCCCCGTATTTATTGTTGTTTTATTGACACTAAGGGTTATGCCTCAGGATGCTGGCCTGATGGAGTACAGGGACCATTTTCTTCTCTGCTGCCTTAAGTAGCTAAAAAAAGTAGCTTGGTAGTGGTGGCACACACATTTAATCCCAGCACTTGGGAGGCAAAGACAGGCAGATTTCTGTGAGTTTGAGGCCAGCCTGGTCTACAGAGTGAGTTCCAGGACAGCCAGAGCTACACAGAGAAACCCTGTCTCAAAGGAACTAAAAACATTAAAAAACAAACAAGTTACAGACTCTGGAGCTTTGATAACCAGACCCAAGAGAGGGCAAAAGTGAGTGACGGGAGCCCCAAGATGCCTGGTCTCATGGAGATTCCAGGCTCCGGGTGAGAAGCACAGCCCTCTGGCCTGGGGGGGGCTGGGGGAGGGGGCCCAGAGAGACCAGGGAAGGGACTCTGGAGACCCACAGAGTGTCCCTCTTCCGCTGTGTGACAAAGCTGCTCTGGTGTGTAAGAACCCTGAGAGAAGAAAATCACAGTGCATCAGCGCTCATTCCAGGGCCACCTCGTCTTCCCGCAAGCCAGAGTGGAAAGGCAGTCTTGCAATGGCCACTCTTGGCTGGGTCTGGACACACTGCCCCTCAGCTTCACACTGATCCTTCATAGCCAGCTCAGCAAAAATGGAGAGGCAGTCTGTGCTGCCACGTCCACTGGTTTCTGCAGCATAGAAACCCCACTGCTACGGCTGAGGGAGCACTGTTCCTTAGAGGTGGTCTCAACCCTAGGAGGAGTGGCTGCCATATATCTTCCATTCCGGTCTTCTCCTTTCAAACACTTATCATCATCATCATCATCATCAACAACATCATCATCGTCGTCGTCTTAGACCATGGAGACTTGCTATGTTGCTTAGGTGCGCCCTGATCTCCTGGGATTAAGCAATCCTCCTACCTCAGCTTCCTGAGTTCCTGGAACCACAGGTGTACTTGGCAATTCCTGGATTCTTTTAGAGTTCTGTTGACTTCTTGCTAGCCAATCCCTCCCCGCTCTAATCCCTTATTGTGGTTAATAAGTCTTCACATTAAACTCCCCCTGTCCAAAGTACGGTGTGGTTTCTGTCTCCTGACTGGATAGCACAGCCACCTCAGAATGATATTGCCTCTTTAGATTAGCCCTAGAACAAAGGCTGCTCTCATCTGGTCAGATGTCACTTAGAAGTGAACCTGGGAAGGGTCAGTCCAGCTGGAGGTGGTGGCTCACACCTGAGAAAGTGAAATCAGGATGATCGGGAGTTCAAGGTCAGCTCCACAGTGAGTTCAAGGCTAGCATGAGGCCCCGCACACACCCCAAAGTCAAACTGTTTTATCTGTCCCAAGTAACGCAGTTAAGTTTATAAGGAAGACCAAAAAAATTTGAAAGGAATATTTATAAAAGTTACCAAACATTTGAGGGTGTCAGATCTTGGAGTTATAGACAGTTGGGAGCTGCCATTCGGGTGCTGGGAATTGAACCTGGGTTCTCTGGAAGAGCAGTCAGTGCTCTTAACCACTGAGTCATCTCTCCATCTCCAAGTTAATTTTTTTAAATCAAGCTGGAGGGATACATGGGAAGGCTTAGGGGAATATATACAGTTGGGCACAGTAATGCACACCTAAGATCCTGGCACTTGGGAGGTAGAGAGAGAGAAAGAACAATCAGGAATTTAAGGCCCACCTTGAGTTACATGACGTTGTCTCAAAAAACCAAAAACTGAAGAGGACTAACCTAGTTCATGTGAATGTGTAAGACCCTTAACTCAACCCCTCCACTGGACAAAAGAGTCTCCATGAAGCTGGTGAGACAGCTCAGTAGTTAGGAGCACTCGTTTCTCTTACAGAGTACCTGGGTTCGATTCCCAGCCCCCCATGGTGGTTTGAAACCATCTGCAACTCTAGTTGCAGGGGATTCAACACCCTTTTCTAGCCTTACTGTAGGCACCAGACATGTACATGGTGCATACACACACATGCAGGAAAACACTAATATACATAAAAGTTTCCTACAGGGCGGTGGTGGTGCACACCTTTAATCCCAGCACTCGGGAGGCAGAGGCAAGTGGATCTCTGTGAGTTCGAGACCAGCCTGGTCTACAAGAGCTAGTTCCAGGACAGCCTCCAAAGCTACAGAGAAACCCTGTCTCAAAAAACAAAACAAAACAAAACAAAAGAAAAACAAACAGAAAATGAAAAAAATTTTAAAGTCTGCATAAAGATATATCACAATGTTTTTAAGTGAAAACTAGTTGTAGAGTTGAAATTAATTTTTAAATGAAGTTCATAGCACTCACCTTATTCTATTGGCATTGCCTTCAGTGGCACACTCCATCTCTCCAGCTCCCGGCTCCCTGATTTTTAAAAAAATATTTATTTGTTGTGTGCATATTCGTGTGCTTGGAGGTCAGAAGACAGTCTGTGAAAGTGGTTATTTTCCTCCTACCAGTAGGTTCCAGGGGTCAAACTCCAGGGTCAGGCTTGACAACAGATGCCTTTACCCTCTGAGCTCTGTTGGCCCTGATTAGGGTTTTGTTTTGTTTTATTTTTCAGACAGTCTTACCTAGCCCTGGCTGAGGCTGAACTTCTGCCTTTATGACCTAATTTCTGTGTGTGCTGCCATGCCCAGCCTCCAGGAATTGTGTGTTAAGGGGTTTGTGTGTGTATTTGTGTGTGTGTGTGTGTGTGTGTGTGTGTGTGTGTGTGTGTGTGTGTGAGACTCCCTGTTAGCCACCATGTGATGCTTATGATTTCTGTTTCCATCCACAAGTGCAGTGGAAAGTCCAAAGGCTGCGGCGGGGTCAATCTAAGGAGAGTGGCTACTGAAATTCTGTACTGGTTCCCTCCGCCTGCACAGACTTGCTTGCTGTCCTAAGGCTGCTTGTAATTGCTTACAAAGGTTGCATGGCGTGACCTGCTCCCTGGCCACTGGCTACACCGGACCAAAGCTACAGCACTTAACAGTACTCCTGGTTTTTGGTTCCTCCTTCCTTTTACTGTCTCTGTGGCTGCCGGGCACCATTGAAGAGCAAGGTCTTAGGAGCAAGCCCATCCTGCGAAGAGGAAGCAGGAGCTCACTTCTCTCTAGAAACCTTTCCTATGCAAAGACAATGGGGCCCATTTCCTACAGCATGGGAGACAGTCTCTCTGGAGCTGTGTCAGTGCCTATGTGAAAGGCACTTTTACACGTTTAAAAGCTGAAATAATCTGTCTGGGGCAGGCTTGCATTGTAAGACATGTTTTTAAGAATCCTTCAAGCAGAAGAAAAATGACATGATAGAAACCTTGTCCACACAAAGGTGCAGAGAGGCCCAACAAATAGTAAACCTGCAAGTGTTTTATTTTATTTTGCTTGTTTGTTTTTGAGACCATATCTCACTTTATAATCCTAGTTGGCCTAGGACTACTGGCTTTGTAGACCAGCCTGGCTGTTCATAGAGACACTGCTCTGCGCTCAGTGTTTTTGTGACAGTTGATGCTGTGAAACATCGACTGTTTTGGTCCAGCTTGTTTTGTCTGTTCAGTCCCCTTGCAGTAGGGTGAGTTCCCTCTGTCGTCCCCCCCCCCATACACACACAGCTGGCAAGCTGTCAACCATCCCCGAGGCATCGGATCCTTCTCAAAGCCACCTCTAACGACCCACACAGTCACCCCATTCTGGGTTCCATGTCCAAAGGTTTGCTTTGCTTCTTCTGAGGGGATCTCATATGCTCTAGGTTGGCCTCCTTACGTAGCCAAGGCTGACCTTGAACACTTGCTCTTCCTGCCGTCAGCTCCTACGTGCTCACTGGCTTGCACCATGAAGCTCAGCTGAGCACTGGCTCCTCCTGCCTGTGTGTGTAACTGGCATTCAAGGAGTAAAGAATGTTCTCAACACCCATTGTGGTGGCCTTTCTACGGATCACTTTCTGGGAGGCGGTCACTCCCTTTTCTCATTCCTGGAAGGCTGCCTAAGCAACTGGCCTTCGTGTACAGGGAGGTGCCAGGACCATCTTTCGTGACCAGCGATCTGTGTGGGCTGTTTCCTCTGGGGCCATTCTGGGGCCCAGGTAGGCAGACATGGGCATGACCCCATGTGAGTGAGACAGCGGCTGTTAGTCTCCATAGGCCCTTCCCTAAGGCTCAAGCTCTCTCTCTCTCTCTCTCTCTCTCTCTCTCTCTCTCTCTCTCTCTCTCTCTCTCTCTCTCTCTCTCTCTCTCCTCTGTGTGTGTGTGTGTGTGTGTGTGTGTGTGTGTGTGTACCTGTCTCTGTGTGTATCTGGATAAGCCTGTCTGTGGTGTGGGCAGAAAGATCTCTCTGGCCTCAGGCTAAACTCTTCCCTAAGAGTCCTTCATTGTCTTCTCTGTCCGCCAGGTGCCGTGGGGGTGGGGTGTTCAAGTCCCTGGGGAGATGTGTGGGCACCGGGAGTAAAGCTGGGCATGGCTTTGTCTCTAGGGGCTTGTAAAATGTGTCTGTGTCTGTCTCTAGAGTTGTTGTGGAGCCTTGCGTGGCTGTTGATGTGTTCTGCAGATCCCAGGAATGTGACCATGGTCCCCACACCTCTTTCCTATCTGTGCTTTCCCAGACTTCTGACTGCCCAGCTTGTTTGGCAACTCCCTTCTTGGCACCAAACACTGTTTGTTTTCTTGGGACTGTCAGCTGATCTGTGTTGGACAACTGTGTCACTTTCTGTGTCTCCCTGTGTGACCCTGGATATAAATGTGCCTGGGGTTACCTGTAAGCCCTTTCTTTGTCTGTGACCTGGGTTTGGAGGACTGTGTTATTCGTTGTGATGTGAGTTTGTGCTTCTATGAGTCTGAAGGGCTGGAAGTGGGTTGCATGCACACCTGTGTGTGCCGTGTGTCCCTGGTCTATGGGACTGAGTCGGTCTGTGGGGACCTGAGCTGGTCCCCCTGGCAGTGTGAGGTCCCTTGTACCCCAGCTGTGTAAACAAGCCCATGTTTTCCTTCCTAAGGCCCTTTTAGGGATGTCTGTCATTCCATCCTCCCCACCGAACAGTGAGTTTGACTGTGTGGGGCTTGCAAAGTTGCGAGATTAGGTGGTGAATGTGAATCAAAGTGTGCAAAGTTGTGCGTCAGAATGTGGATAAAGCCGAGTGTTCCCTGGACAACCCCAGCCTCTCACAGCCAGAGGAGCCTAGTTCTCCCAGGTTCCGGGGCCAGCCTATCTACTCTTTTATAGCCAGGCTTCACAACAGCTCTATAATTACCTGGGGCCAGAAGCTGCAGAGAAGGCCAAGAGATTGATGTTGACCCTCTAGGGGAGGGGCCATGTCTGGCCCCACTGGCCAAGCTGGAAGACACCGGAGGAAGGTGGGCTCCAGGATCGGGTTGCAGATCCACAGTTTAGCCTGGACTTCCCATGCTGCCCAGGGCCTGCGTCTCTGGCTGACTTGGATCCAGGACATCTTGCCCCCGCCTTGGGACAGCATCACACTTTCCCAGTCTTTTGTCCCAGGACTGCAGCTCCCTGGGTAGTGTCCTTGTATTTCCACCATGTTTCCCCTGCCAGCCCACATTCCTCACCAAATTCACATCCCTCATCTTCATCTAGGACCTCTCTACTCTCTCGACTCAGTCCTGTCCCTTGGTCCCATCTGGCGTCCATCCTAGCCACCACATATGTCACCACCACATCCGACTGGGCGTCCCAGTGGAGAGGATGAGTACTGTAGGGGCTGAGTAGCCCTGGGATGGACAGGTGTGCACTGGCCCAAGTCTGTCCCCAAGCCCAGAGGGCGGTGCGGGTGTTTGCACACTGTGTGAAGCTGTAGCGCTGTGATTGGTATAATAAAGACCTGACCAGCCAATAGCTGCGCAGGGCGTGCAGGGGGCACTTCTGGGCAGACAGAGAGGACTCTGGGAAGAAGAAAGGCCGGTCACCAGCTGGGCATGGAAGAACAGATGGACAGCATGGAGCTGAGCTAATGAGCCTCGAGAAAGAACTTGTACTGAAAACTGTGGGTTAACTTACCTTATAAGAACTAGTTGGGGGCTGGAGAGGTGACTCAGAGGTTAAGAGCACTGACTGCTCTTCCAGAGGTCCTGAGTTCAATTCCCCATAACCACATGGTGGCTCACAACCATCTGCAATGAGATCTGGTGCCCTCTTCTGGCCTGCAGGCATATGCACAGACAGAACACCGCATACATAATAAATAAATAAATAAATAAATCTTTAAAAAAGAACTAGTTAGGAAGAAGCTAAGCTAAGGCTGAGCTTTCATAATTAGTAAGTCTCTGTGTCATTACTTGTGGGCTGGTGGTCCCGATGAGAACGTACAGCTGCTGCAGGGAAAGAGAGTAAGAGACATTTGGGAAGGTGGAGAGGCTTTTTTGTTTGCTTGTTTGTTTGGTTTTCGAGACAGGGTTTCTCTCTGTAACTTTGGAGGCTGTCCTGGAACTCGTTCTGCAGACCAGGCTGGCCTTGAACTCACAGAGATCCGCCTGCCTCTGCCTCCCGAGTGCTGGGATTAAAGGTGTGCGCCACCACTGTCCCTGCTGGTGGAGAGGGTTTTGACATCCCTGCTTCTCAGTGACCAACATTCCTTCCCCTTTTATAGTTCACAAACCCTTCCCAGTCCAGTGGTGGTGGCTCAGTGGACGATGGTATGAGGTGGTTCAAACCAGCTATGACAAAAGAGCCAGGTATGGTGGCACATGTTTATAATGCCAGCACACAGGAGGTTAAGGCAGAGAGATCATGTCTACCCTGGAATATAGTGCAAGACCCTGCCTCAAAAATAAATAGACAGATACATAGATAGATAGATAGATAAGTAAGTAAGTAAGTAAGTAAATAGAAGACTGTGGCTGGAGAGATATTTTATTGGTTAAGAACACTTGCTGACTTGCAAAGGACCTGGATTTGGTTCTGAGGACCCACACAGTGGCTTGCCACTGTCCAAAAATCCAACTCCTGGTAAACTGGCGCCCTCTTCAGACTTCCGAAGGTAACACACATACACACACACAGTCATATATATATATATATATATATATATATATATATATATATATATATATGCAGAACACTCATACACATAAAGTTAAAATACAAATAAATAATTAACTTAAAAATCTGGGTAAGAGTCTGGTGGTGGTGGCTGCAGCGGCGACGGTGACGCACGCCTTTAATCCCAGCAGTCGAAAGGCAGAGGCAGGTGGCTCTCTGAGACTTGGAGGCCAGCCTGGTCTACAGAGAGAGTTCCAGGATATCCAGGGCTACAAAGAAACCCTGTCTTGAAAAGCCAAATAAACAAGTAAATAAATACAAACAAACAAACAAAACCTGGACACCGTAGTGTAATACCTAGAATCTCTGGAGACAAGATTATCGCGATTTTAAAGTCACCCTCCAAGACATAGTGAATTCAAGGTCAGCCTGGGATTCATGATACTGCTTCAATTTAAAAAAGAAAAATGTCAGGTTTGGTAGCACACACCTTTAATCCTGCACTGGGGAGGCAGAGGCAGGGGGTCTGTGAGTTTGAGGCCAGTCTGTCTACACAGCAAGCTCTAGGACAGTTAGGACTACATTGAGAGACCTTGTCTTAAATCAAACAAACAACAAAATCAAAAACAAACAGAAGGAGAAGAGGAGCCCTTAAAAGCACAGCATCGAAACGCCTCTCAAGCTCTGCACATATCACAGCTGATGCCTC